GATCCGTTTTCGATTCGATTTAAACGAAATTTATTTAGTAGAATTGGCCCCTGTTCGGTCTTGGGTAGCTCAGTGGTTAGAGCAGTCGCCCGGATTGCGAAAGTTTATGGGTTCGAGTCCCATTTCAGAGTGTCAGGGACAGAGTTGATGTTTTAAGCATTTTTCATTAAGAATACTTTTAGTTTTGTCAATGTTCCGATAGTGCAAGCATAGGTTAAGTTATACAACATTTATTATTGACTTCTCTAATAAAACGAGAACTCTTCAGAAACTTAAAACATTTTAACTAAATTTATTGGTATGTTATGTGTCCCTAGTACTCATTTTAACATGTATTATTTCTAGATTAGGTAAAAACTTACAGTGACAGGCGCCAAAGTTGTTTTTATTAAATATCAGAAAAAATTGTCAATATCATTTTTCAATCTATCTAAGAGCAGATTAGAGTTTAAAGATTGCATAGTGTTATAGTAATTCACTTTGGCGTCTGTATATTGAATATTTTATTATTAAGAAAGTTATTATGGGTATTGCATATCGAAATCAATTGTTGCGTGTGCGCAGGTCAGCACGGCGACCCTCGATGTGTATACGTGCCGCCGTCCACGGGACAGACTTACTTCTCATTCCGGATCGCGTACGCCAAATGTGGGACTAAGCCTGGTAAGTACTTATCATTATTATCGCCAGCCTATTGATGTTCCCGCTGGGGCACACTCTATGATTCGAACCGAATCTTTAATAGGGAGAATGACCACGCGGGCTCACTGGGTAATGGTGGGTGTTAACAACTGCAGTTGTAGGGACCGCCCACTCTGACCGAGGAGCTCCTTACAATTTTGGTCACCCATCTTTAATAGGGAGAATCTTTAATAGGGAGAATGACCACGCGGGCTCACTGGGTATTGGTGGGTGTTAACAACGGCAGTTGCAGGGACTGCCCACTCTGAACGATGAGCTCCTTACAATTTTGGTTACCCATCATAAAACAGACCCTTGCGAATGCTTAACTTCCGCATCACAGACTAAACGTCCTAGTCACTTCACCAGCGAGCTGGTTGATATAATTACATCCATTTTTTTTACGCTGACATAGGAATATTTAGTTGAAATTTTTCATGCAAAATGAATTACGTGTAACATCAAAAAATATTATTATAAGGCGACACCACTTTTTAAACCAGTTTTATTCTAAGGCTATACTAATATTTGCCAAATTAAAATAATTTTATAAAATTATCAATAAAAAAAAGTCGTTAAGACTCTAAATAGGTTTTTGAATCGATTTTGAGACTTTTGATATAATTTAACATGATGAATAGACTTTTTAGGACACTTGTTCTTTTTTCCGTGATTATAATGTATGAAGTCAAGGAAACGCGTCTTTACTCTCGATGCGAAATCTTTTTTTTTTTGCTGGGAGTAAAAGAACAAAAGCGGAGGTACAAAGCAAGAGGGCCTTAAACTTAGACATTAAAATATATTTATAATGAACTTGAACGAGACAGATAGATACTTTGTGGTTGGTTAATAATTATAATTATTTGACAAGATAGACTATATATTTGTTTTAAAAATTCTCACCCAAGTAGCCAATATTAAGGCGGGTTAAGCTTGTAAACGTTCACGAAGCTACTGCGTTGATGTCTTTTATATGGAGTTTCCGAATGTCTTTCTAGTTGTGATGCTACAGTTAGTTTAAGGTTATTTATTATAAGCTAGCTGTTTTTCCGTTACTTTACCTGCGTAAATTATAAACTATATTACCGGAGTATGATGTAGCTTCTCGTAGGTGAAAGAATTTTTAAAATCAGTCCAGTAGTTTTGGAGTTTTTTCGATGCAAACAAACAATCTAAACTTTCCACTTTATAATATTAGTATAGACATACTAATACTGAACATACTTCTTCATATTGAAATGAATGAAACCTTAAATAAGTATTCAAATTAAAGAAATAAGCATTCTTATATAAGTAAATTCCATAAGAAGTAAAATCATTGTAACACTTTTAGTGAAATTAATGATCATGAATATATATTACTAACTATGCCGGCCTGTGCAGTAAAGTGGCGTAGAGCCTTCAAACATTGGATAAATCAAACAAGATTGCTCTGTCCAATCCTAGATAAATTTTGATTGGTCTGTCCAACGCTTGAAAGTTACACGATGTTGATGTAGTTACACGGTAACGCTGTATGTTTAATAGAAAGAGAGAGAAGACTGAAATAATTTTAAAGCGAAATCTATATAAATTTATTTTATTGTCACAAAAAAATGGCGCCAGCCGCGAATGTTGATACTGTGGGTCTAATGCAATTACAAAAATATTTGACTAGGAAATTTGGAATTTAAATATTATTTTTTTGGTATTAGCATTAGAAAATCAAATGTTTTTTTATCAATGCTTACACACCAAAATAACATTTACATAATAATAAAAAGAATTTGCTCGTAACTTCATCTGCGTAGTATAGCAACTTTTAATCATAATCTTCTACACAAACTAATATCCTCTATTTCAACCTTTTCTTGCGAAAGATCCTATTTCCTTTTTTAAATTCTATCTCTGTAACAATTTTCATAAGAATCGATTCAGTGATTTTAGCGTAAAAGCGTAACAGACAGATTTACTCATAAAATAAATATTAAGTAAGGATAATTGTAGGACTAAGTCACATGTTTTGACTAAGGCGTAGAGTTTGTAAAGTTCGAGCTTGTAAAGTAAATACTAGGCTATACATAAAATCAGAATGGTGTCGTGTTGGCAACATTATATATGAAAGTGTTTTATTATTAGTAATTATAACTGAGTTATACCAACTGTACTTCACTACATAGTATAAAACAAAGTCGCTTTCTCTGTTCCTATTTCCATATGAATGCTTAAATCTTTAAAATTACGCAACGGATTTTGATGCGGTTTTTTTCATAGGTAGGGTGACTCAAAAGGAAGGTTTTTATGTATAATACAAAATCACTCGGGCGAAGCCGCTGGCGGAGCCGCTCGTATAAAATAAAACTTGAATTGTATATAATAAACAAAATAATATACATACCTACAAATAGACCTACATTATTGCCTTTTAGAGTTAAAAATATTTGAATAGTGAATATAGCCCTTATCATATACTAGCCGTTTTTTTGTCACTCGCGTATGATGTAGCTTTCCGTAGCTAAAAGCATTATTGAAATAGTTTAATACAAAACCAATAGACAATCAAATCTTACCTCTCTATATATGTGTACGTTTTGAAATAGACCCTACCGAGATTATATACTAATTGACGTTGCCAATTGATTTGCTTAAATGGACCGAGACGAATGCGTGATATAAATAAATATACCAATTTTCTTTTTCTGGAGGTCTGAATTTTTTTTTTATAATATTACGTATTGGTTATTTAGAATTTTATATAAAATATATTATAGATATAATTTTTCATTTTTCAATATAAAATTATTAAACTAGAGTTATTTTGTGTTGGTATGATCTTAGATTATCATCATCATATTTCAATTAATGTTCATATAGTTTTCACGTAATATAAGTGAATAATACACCTAAAATATATTGAATTACTGTCTCATATCTAATGTAACCTGCATTAAATTATTTTGAGTAGTTTTAATATGTTTATCATATACAGGTTGACAAATAGACACAGATGTTGCGAGGAACATGGTTTTATTATATGACAGATTCGGGCTTGTAAAGTATTCATATATTTGTACTACTTCAGTAGTATTAATTAAGAACTACATATTTTTTATAATGATTTAAGCACATACTCTTTAAATGTCGTATAAGTTCACCAGTCGTTTAATGTTGTTATTGGTAGTATATAGCTTTCTCCTATGGATGGAATGAAATTGAATAAGGAAAATGGGCCATCTCTAATGTGACTAAACGTACCGTTTTGAACGGGACCATCCCGTTTTTTCGGTTGTCTGTCCCGATATCCCCCCGAAAGATAACCTCGGGACGCAACATTATCTCACTTTAGAAATGGAGAGAAAATCACACTGGGCAGGGCGACAATACTGCATCATATATCTAACGCACATTATTCATTTGTTTTTCCATTACTTTGGGTTACTTGAATCTTTATATGTATTTTGAAAAGCAAGCGTTCGCTTAATTATAGGTGTCTGGGCTTATCGCACTATACCAAAAAGAGGGCATTCATGAAAGTCATGATTTCTTGTGACATATACATTAGACACAAGAATTCACCTTCCTCCTCCCCATTATTTTCTTTAAAAACCGGTGTCCCGTTTTGATCTAAAGAAAAAATTATCACGTTAGCCATCGCCCACCACGCGAGTATAGTGCGGATTGGTGGGTATCAACGACTGCAGATCCAGTCGGGAGCAAAGGCTCGACGTGCCTTTCAAAGGAGTTTGGTGTCCCATCCTATGTTCGGCTTTTGAGAAAGTTGCTTAACTTTTGCGAATGCCTAACCAAGCTCCTTCGATTAAATCATGATTAAAATGTATTCTCACTATTGAAATCAAACTGTAGTCAATAACTTCTCTTTTGTTAATACTTCACGCGCGTTTATGGCTCGAACCATTTACGTTTCGCTGTATTAAACTTAATCGATTTATAATCGCCCTACATTACTAAATTTAGTTGTTATATGAACTTTCTATATTTTTTTTCCAAGTTCGCTAACATTAACACCGGCTTTAATAATGTTATAAAGTTTCCGTTATTTTTATTTTAGTACACGACAGTAAAGATATACTTTTTGCGTAAACCAGATATATATATTTTATTTAATCGATTTTATTACTAAGATTTTAAATATCCTTAGCCAAAAGATAATCAAAATCTTTTAATTCCTTTTTTTAGAACATTTACTTTAGAACATAACACTAAATCACTCTCGTGAAGTTTAAAGAATAAAAAACGATTCTTAATACAGATCCATCGTACTCATCACTAAATCATCGAGCTTTTACTCAAATAAAAAAAAACATGAAATATGTAATGACATGCAGTCATATTTAATAGAAGAAGTCATAGCAAGTAAGACCTGTTTATGATCAAATGGTAATAATTAAAACGACATCTTGGTTTCTGATTTTGTATTACTAGAATACTTTATAGAAACATTAATATATAAACGTTCCAGTACAATAACGTAAGTGATGATATTCTGAGCTCTTAAAAATGATTCATCATTAATAAATGATAAATTTACCGTACACAGTCGCTTTATAACTTTGACCCCGTGAACTGCGCCTTGTAGGCGAAAATCGTGATGACCAAATAAGGACAATAATATGTAAATCGCAAGAATTTTATACGGATACGTTTCATTCTTATAAAACATACAAATTTCTCCATTTGCATATTTTGTTCGTCGTTTGTTAAGCCTTCTAATATTCATCTACACTGACGATTTAGGAGCAAAGGTACTCTTCCAGTGTAGGAAATGCTATGCATGCTGTTGCAAGAATTTTGGATTGTTGTCTAGACTAAGCTATCTAATATATTTGTCGAAGTCATGTGTTGACTGTAATCTGTAAGTGTATCTAAAATAAAATTAAAAAAAAAATTGACACTAAATGCAGTGATAATAATACTTCACTAAACCATCTAAAAAGCATAAGAATTAAAACCGTTCGTTAACTAAATTGATAGCTTAAAGTCGAATTACAGTAAAAAGTGAACAATTCCAATGTGTCAAAATCCTCTTCACGTGAGCAGAGCTTTTGTGTAACTAATCGACGGCTACATATTGTTTATAAGTAAGGACTTTAATCTTTAATCTATGTAGTAGAAGACTGTATAAATGCAGCGCCATCGAGAACCTTGTCAAATATATTTTTTTAATTTCATTTAGAAATATCGATAGCGTTACGAGCTATATATATATCGCTTCGCTAACACTGTAGAATACGCCTGTTTAGTGTGACAACGCTCTTACGAAAATTTAATATCTTTGTTATAATATAAAAGGGGCGTGGAGTGATAAATAATTATCACTATTGACTCATTTTAATTCTATAAGCAAAAACACTTGTAGCTTTTATAAGCTTGTTTTAAGTTGACATTTATGTGAACTTTAATTTATGTGGGCGCCTCATGAAGTAATTGAGTAATTTATAAGCTGGTCATGAGTAAACGATCAAGTTATAACACAAAGTGGTAATTACAATCGTATTTTAACTTCATAGACATAAGCTTTAATTAACGTACTTGTAATTTATTGAAACACACCACAGAAGAACCACACACAGCACCACATGGGAGCAGATATGATAATGCGTTAAGGACTGAGCCATCGAGCAGCCCTATTCTAATAGTTTTAAAAGGAAACATTTTTTTTTGTATGTTAAACTCAATAACTACTCCTATTTAAATGTCTATTAACGATATAGAGGTATAGCTCCATTATCAGCGCGTAACATAAGTATATTAAATCGCTTATTTTACTTTTATATAAAATCAGAATGGACGTTTCCTTAAATATTTAATGCATCTCTATTAAATTCTAAAATCAAATACACATAATGACTTGCTGTGTACCAGTCACATTCTCAATACCAGTTTGGTGCACGCCGTGTTTGTAAACGCGATTAGATGTTTACTTTTATCTAAAATCCCATCGTTGCCATAGAGGTATATTTCATAATGGCTTCCCGTGCCTAATGAGGTAAACAACAGGGGGCTCATGTTACGTCTGCACGAGTTATTTATTGTGACTTATCCGCGTGCCGGATGCAACTGTTGTATGTCCACCCACTCTATAAAATTTTCAGTAAATTTATTTTAGTACTATTGGAATGAACTCGACACTTGAAAGCTTATTCTGTAATAGAATAGAATTCCGCCAAAAGAAATATATTTTCGAAATGCTAATGAGACATTGTCGTTTATTTTTGTGACGAACGAGGTAGGACCTGTCACTGCCTCAGATGCATTAATAATCTTCACGGATATAAATTTGAAATTCGTGCGAGTTATATATCTTTTTTATTAAAATCTACGAAGCTGTTATTCTTAGCTGCATCTGCAATCTTTGTTCGTCGTCGGCGTCGTCATTGGTCTTTCTCCGTATGCGATAAGAATCAATTCCAACCATAAAAAGGCCTGTTTCCCAGCTGATAAATAGGCTAATGATCATTAATTGAAATATTCATTACTGATTCAGGATTTCATTATAAATAGAACAATATGATATAATAGTTTTTTTACCCCGAATATTTATCTGCGAGGATTTTTAACCATATAACAATATAGTGAACAATTCGCTGCATATGAGCATTTCAATCTGTTTTATCTGAATCGCCTAAATGCCTTAGGCGGACACGTAACTTTACAAACATTATCCCATTCCGTTGCGTTTACTTTATCTCTTTAAATTCCAGGTAAATACCGGTGATTCGTAACAATTTAGTAATAAATCGTCTTCACCAAGACCACTGCATTGGTCTCAATTTAACAAAGTACTTAAGTGAGTTTTTCTTGTTGCGATTCCTAGTCGTCGCGCACTAGTGCAGACTTAACGGGTGCACATGTCCCGCTCTTTCCGCGAATGTTGCTTGAGCATTGTTTCGCGGAATCGCCACCCGCCAGACCGCATTTCAAAGCTCTTAAGGTCCAAATCGCTTAAGCATATTATATCCGTCGTCGTGACGCCTACCCTCAATCTACTACTCTCAAACGTATTTCCTTCCCGACGCAACCAATAACCGTCTTTAAGTTACCTAGACCAAACGTGACGGATTAGAGGTAACAATGCGAATTCGATTTTATGTCTTCAGTTATAAGGTCTTCGTTGGTGACCAGTCAAAGTTGGAAGATTAATGCCCTAATGGGTCGATGCGCTAGATGGGAGTAAGCTTAAGGGTCAGTTTTGCTTACATGACACCGTCCGAGAGCCTTCTGGCTCGATCCGCGTTCTTCGTTCGATATCAACTTTTTGCGCGAGTTCATCCGCATAGGTACAGCCCTAGCAATAATAAGGATTTAAAATTAAACTTATGAGTTCGGTGAACTATTGAAGGACTTCAAGCCGTAATATCTAGATGTCTTGAGTAATTACGTGGCATTAATACAACAACAATAATTGTATTTTATGGAAGACGCAGTAATTACATTAAACTATTTTTCACTTCCCAATAACTTCTACGAAATTGTATTATACCCAGCGCATCAAATTTACGATATGCAATGCGAATATACTTAAAAAAATCTATCTCCATTGTTAGAATCCCGTAATTTGAACTCTTAAATAAAAACCACAACCTTTCGCGTCTCTAGTTTTAGCTTATTTTTTTATTTATTTATTAAGAAACAAACAGTTTTACAACAAATGTGTTCATTATAAAAAAACAACATGTATATAAAAACCTATAGTTCCATATTTCATTACTTAAACACACAGCAAAGTAAGCATTACAACAATGAAAAAAATGAAACCTAATTTTAGTTTTTTACCTATATTACACACACAAAACAAATAATTAAATGGGACAAAAAATACACCCCTTTTTCTCTTGCATATTTCATGAGACATAAAATAAAATTTCCAGTGATATTTTCATAAATTCTTTTAAGTTTGAGTAAAAGATGTCAACATCGCACAATTTTTGGTCGTATGTTCTACAAGATCTTCTAACGAATGTATTATTTCCATAGCATGTCTTTGCAACTAGGTATGAGAAAAGAACCTTTTTGCGACTCAGTCGTTCACATGGGCGGGGAATACGAAATGTAATTTTATATTAAAAAGTTCAGGGGCATCGATAAGATTATTAATTAATTTATAAAGAAAAGTAACGTTACAAAGATTACGGCGTTCTTTAAGGAGTGCAATGTTATGATGCTTTTCAGATGTTTCATTATCAACATAATTTATGCTGGACTCTTTCAATTCTCTTGACGAGAGTATCAAACATAAGATTATATCTAGATCGGTAAAAACGTAAAAAGTTTTACATATGCAGTTTTATTATATTACCTATTTTGTTTTTTTTTGTACCATTTGTCCATGCTTACAATAAAAACTCTTTTTTCAGATCTCCATGGACAGTTCTACGAAAACACTGTAGTAGTGCAATACGACAAGGACCTCCTTGAAGTGTGGGACGAAGCAAAGAGGCTTCGATGCGAGTGGTTTAACGATTATGAAAAGACAGCTTCTAAACCTCCTATGGTGATAGCCGACTTAGACGTCGTACAGTTAGACTTTAGAGGTGAGTTTTGAATGAAAAATTATAATATATTTTTTTGTACTTACTTAAAGCTTGAAATCTACATATGATAACAATAAAAGTGAAGTTACTCGTACAATGAGAACATGAGAATAAAACGTAATTTCTAATTTCTCAACGTAATAATAATTTTTCTTTTTTTCTTAAAAAGGATTTTCATTACTAAGATCAAATTAGAAAGACACGCCATTTTGCTTGCGTTAAGGGGTGTTATAATCAAATAGTGTATAAATGTACATTTTTATAGGAGACAATGTGGATTGCTGGATGGAAATTCAAGCAGGAAAAGGGCCATGGGCTCCACCAGTTTCCGGAATAGTCCCATTAGGATCTACCCTCACGCTGGTTGTGGCCATAAACGACTATAGAGGTAAGACATGTATACTATTATTTTAGTAAGGAGGATTATTTTAGTATTTGATTGTTGTTTGTTTAATAGGCTCCGAAATTACTGAAATTATATTGCAATTATTTTAACAACGGGATCGCAGGAAAAAAATAGATTCAGAATATTTCATTTCATCTCTTAATATTAATTTCAAATATAATCCAAGATACAAGCTTCTAACTTCTTGTCATTCCGACACATAGAAATAATATATCTTATCGTAATCCCATCGCTTGAATGTGTAGAGATTATAATATGATTCTCCCAGTATAACTGTATTGACAGTGGTAGTCCTAGTTGATTAACCATTCAGATTGCTTTAAACTTCTTCTTTTTATAATATTGCTAAAAAAAATTTTTCTGTAAGTCATTGTATGTATTGTAGTAATAAATTAATATTCAAAAACCTTTAAAATAATAATTTAGTACTAAACAGTGGTTACTTATATTAATTAATGTTATATTACCTAATAAATAAAACAGCTAGTCGTTTCGTCCTAGGTATAAGCGGTCGTAACAGTTCCAATAAGGTTTTTAACTTTTTTATTTTTAATAAAGGCTCAAAAGAGATGAAAGAGAGTTTTAAATTTGTTTAGAGAAACTTCCGCTTATTCAAAGAAACATTAATTTCACTGTGTAATTTGCACTCGCAGTAAATAAATAAAAGAGAAAACACTAAATATAAGTTGTATTCGCTTGATTTAGAGGCATTAAATTTCCATAATTCCAATGAGTAGGCGGTTGAACACGGAGAAAATATTCAAATCATTAAAATATTCTTGAAGATTCGTTCAGGCTTATTAGAGCAAGCGACTGCCCGATTCTATGTATTTTTTTCAAATCTAAAATGCAAATGAGCCTCATAAAAGCTGGCGATTAGAAAAATAACTCTTTATGGTATACAAATTTGATTTTAGAATTTATTTCGCGATTCGTCAGCATTTACGTTTGTCGTAAACTATATTATCTAAAGTAAAGGGTTTTTGAATTTATAAACCTACTATAAATAACATGCGATCGAAATATAAAATAAATTATAAAATAAATAAATTAATAAATAATTTAAATCTTTATATAAGAGGTAAATCTGACTGGCATATAGAGCCGAAACCACTCTATCTAGAAATTTGAAATTTGCTACAGGGGTTCCTTTTATGTTGTAACTGAGCACTAAGAGAGGATTTTCAGAAATTAAACCGCTTAGAGGTGAAAAAGGGGTGTGAAGTTTATATGGAATTTTCTTATTTCTAGACTAACGAGTATGAAAACAAGATCAAATTAGACTAGAAGTCGCTGGCAGAAAGTTAGGAGTATTAATACATTAGGTTTGTCTCGTAACTTTTCAACAAAATGCAAAGGTCAAATAAATAATAGAACCCCAGGATGCGTCCCACTTGAGCCCACAGCAAGTCAGATTACTCATGATAAATTGAATTGTTGTTTAATAGGGAACGACTACTGGGTAAAAAAAAAAACTAGTTAGTCCGCAGATAATAGGAAAAGGCTATTCAGATAATAGGAAAATACAAAATACGTATTTTTTTACTTCAATTCAAACAAGAAATGGCTTGGATAATAGGCATTAAAGCTTGCTACGTCACAGTTTTGTAGAAAGTGTACGAAAGCGTTACGTCGTGCGACATTTTAACTCAATGTATCCCCGTCATTTATTGATCACGAAAAAAATAAAACAAAATACGTATTTAATATCCTTCAATAATCTACCTGATGGATAAATAAACAAAAAATAGTATACATATATAGACAGACGTATATTGTAGAAAGTAATATTCAATGGTTCAATGATAAATATACAGTTTGTATAACTTAGGTGTTGATTGACACACCTTTTATTTGTGAAGAAAAAAATGATTTTAGAAATCGTAATTGAAACGTATTCATTGAATCAATGCGTTTGAAGATTTCAAAAAAGCCATATCAACAATCAATTCTTTTGAGATGCCGCTTTCTTAATAGCGATTTTTCAATTTGTTGGTTTATGATGGTCTATTGTACATATCCGATACAGTCGGCAAGTTTTTTTAAAAATTAATAGGGATGGAATAGAAATTTGAAGCTATTTGTATTTAATGGAAGTGTAAATTATATATAACTATATAATACAGCTAGCAGTTGTAGACAATAAAGCAGTACTTTTACAAGTAATTAATTAAAAGTGGTTTTTGTCATATACTTCGCTACCCTCGGTTATCTATAATTATCTATTTCATTAGCAGACGCAATAAGATAGATAGGAATAGTTTTTTGGCTCTACTCCCCTTCTTGAATACGTGTAAAAGAAAGATACCTGCGTTTCAGGGGCTAATAACGCGATTCCTTTCAATTTGATATTTCACGCTACAACTATTTGGTATATGTTAGCGATTGCGTTGGCGAAGTTTTTTAAAAGGTATTGAATGAACGATATCGTTATTTTAACTATAATTGGAATTGTCTAATGCAAGCGGTAGATGAAAATGTCTTTGAAAGCTTTTGAGAAATGTCAAATGAAAGAGTTTTATGCTAACTGCAATCTTTTGACGGGTTTAGGTAAGTTTTTATTATGTTTTTTGATCTTTCAAATCATTACCAGTACCAAAAGCGAAATGCTTCTTTAAAAGTAATATAGTTCCATAAAACGCAAGACCTTTAAAGGAGATCGCAATAGATTTTGAAAATAGACAATTAGCCCACAGGTTCAAATGCCCTTTAATAATTTCAAACGCGCACCACAAGTCGGAAACGGTGTACCGTAAAATTATGCCATTTCCAGTTAAATATGTAATTATTATATACATTAATAAAGTCTCATGAGTTTGTTGCCTCTGAACTGCCCATTGTGTTATAGAACATATGGGGCAAAAAAAACATGTAGAATAACGTTTATAGCATCATTTTATTATAGCTGTCATTCCCGAGCGGCTGTTAGAGTTTCATCTCTTTTTTTTTTCAATTAAATAGACAGAGATTTGGTCACAAATTTTTTAAGCTACAGTTTTATTGAGGCGAATTAGAATGTTTAGCATTCTATAGTCAATTATATTACGTTCGGTAATGAACTGGTTAGAATAACTCAATACAATTCGTTAAAGTCTTTGAGATTTGATTATTTTTTTTTTAGAATTAAAAGTAATTTGATAAACAATTTATAATTGAAACGTTGTCGAATCGTTGTATAATAATAAAATTTAATTACCGTAGTAACAGACGAATTCGTAACTAAGTATTATATTAGATCAATTTCGCATTGACAATGTTATACTGAAAAATACTATTAATTAAAATGCTTAAAAAATACACTGTGTCCCTCGCACCCAGGGGATTTTTTAAGTATTTTTCATTAAGAATATTCCTATTTTAATCTTGATGTACCCAACCACCGATTTAGATCGATGTACTTGTTCTTCGGAGATCGTCAAAAAGCTCCAGTAGAAAAATTTAATGATATTTCACGAGAACTGCGAAAGTACTGCCGTTCTAGTTAATCTCATTCATCTCTCAATTTTTTTGGACAAAAGTTTGCAAATTGCTGAGTAGATTTTTATCGGAAACTACCTTTGCCCCGGTTTCGAATGGTTGTACTTTGTGTTGTTCCCAAGTCAGCTTAATGTATTCAGACGTCTTTATTAATCATGTAATACCTTAAACTATTACTCAAAAATATTTGTCCCTTAAAATAATTCGAAACATGTTTTTTATGTCGTTTCAATTAATAATAGAAAAGTATGCGTATTAATTTATTTTGTGACAAAAACGCCATCAAAATACTTTACGAATAAAATTAAAATCAAATATTTACAGTAAAACCTTGCTATCCGGAAATCTTACTAATATTATAAAGGCGAAAGTTTATATGTTACTTCTTCACGCAAAAACTACTAAACGACATATAGAAACTACTAAATAGCATATAGACTACTTTCTATCACACTAAATAGCGCCCTAGAGAGAAAAATACCGTCATCATAAGGGTCATCATATTCGTATGAAGCCGCTGGTGGAAACTAGTAGGTAGGTATATAGAAATCAAACAAATATGTATTACATTATACTGACACATTCTAAACGATTCCATTTATAGTTTTCGTTGATTTCTCGAGGAAGATTTATCGTATGTTGTAATTAAATTAATATTATATTAATAAACTGAGAAGACGTGATTTGATTTTAATGTGATATAACTTGATAAATATACCAGATGTTCAGTTTTATTTCATCATATAAAAATATATATTCTATTAATATTATATAAGTGAAAGTTTCTTTGTTTGGATGTTCGTCAATCATGCCGATGCCATTTGTTATACAGATAGGGTATTAGCTGAATTGGATAATAGGATACTTTTTATCCCATTAAATAGTTCCCTAGTGACCACGAGGGCGAAGCCGCCGCAGAAAGTTAGTTATTAAAAAATTGTAAATTTTACAATGGTTTAATCAAGACTCGATATTAAAACTTCTTTATTTTATTGGTGATTAATCAATCTAATTGTCAGTTATTGAAATGGGTGTCTATAAATAACAAGTGCGTGTCGTTAATTTATAGCACTGATGGTGGCTTCTCTCAGCCGAAGCAGTGATGGTCGCCATTTCCTTCGAGGTATCATTAACGCCACCCACGCATTTTTAAGATCAACATTTGTTCATTTCAAAGTGCCTACTTACGTGAAATGTCATATTGATATCTGTAGAGGTGAAGAGTATTATCTACTTTCGATATTTGTATCTTTCTCGCTTTAGTAGATGTGGGTTCTGAATAGATTTTAACATCCATTTGTTGAACCGGACGTGCTGCTTACTGTACTTACAGAATTCAACTGATAACTATAGATTCTGTAGATTGAAAACTTTTTGTTTGTTTAACAAACTTTATTAAATCGGAAATCGTCGGAAAAGATCTCTTACCAAGAAGGGTTTATTCTTTTCTATAATTATATTTACTAATATTTTAAGTAATTTTTAATTGTTTGTTTGCATCGAATATGCTCAGAAACTACTGGATGGATTTCATAAATCCTTTCATCTATGGGAAGCTAGATCATACTACATCGACATAGACTATAATATTAAGTGAAATATTATATGATGGGACTTCGTGGGGTGGATGAGTAAACTGTACAACTTTTATTATGGGAACAACAGCGAGTTTATGAAAAAATAATCAAATATTACAATTTTGTATGAAACAGCTGTATATTTTTTTGTGAATTTAGTGTTGCTCTCATAGTTAAAGTGTTCACTACTACTCGTATGAATTAACATGACACCGGAGACTCTATTTTATTTGTCCTTGGACGAAAATTTAAAATCGTTCTTATAATTTTATCAAAATCATATTCGTGAAGATTGTCGGTGCGTCAGAGGCAGTTTCAGGTCCTACCTCCATTCCATTATAAATAATCTGAAATTGCGATTCTTTGGAGTCATATTGGCATTTGGAAAATTGATGAAATTTCGTTTTCAGAGAAAAAGAATAAGCCATCAGGTGTCATATTGATTCGTACGAGTAGCTACGAGTATTTGACTTATCCACCCCACGAAGTCTTGGCACATAATAATACCACACCTTATAATAACATAATAATATTACACCTTGGACGAAGTCGCGGGAAAACATCTAGTAATCACTAAAGTTTTATTAGTGTTTTACTATAACCGCACGGAAACACCGTATTTACACAAATACCATGAACATACCATTATCGGTGGTAAGCCTTAAAAATTTCCGTTTCCACTTAGCAACGTTTTAACTAGGGGACTCGCTATGGTAATAATAGTGTGCAAACACATGCTAACGGTACTCAATAGTAAAAAGTAAACTGGACAAATACATCAGAATGGGTTTGCTTAACGGCTCGCCCGGTCCGGTATCGGGGACGGCGCGATACAGTAACTGATCTGCAATAAAAATCAAGTGCTTTTATTTACTAGCGTTGAATTTCGCGGACCGCCCGTTAGATGGCTCTGATTACTTAATTTATTGGTGGCGGGTGACATTTAAATTAAGTATTTTGTTTGAATCTTTTTTTGCATTAGTTTAAAAAATGTAATGATATTAGCATTGTATTGTTTTAATAAATTTTGGGTCAAATTAAATTATCACTAGTTATAAGGAAAGAGTTCTATGATTTCAAAATTTATATTAAAAAACAACTATTCATATTGGATATTACATACATGTAAACTTATGAATGATTTATTCATTCAGAAAAATATGTAATGAACATTTTACTGTAAATAGCAAATTGTATATATTATAGTAAATTTTAAATGAATTTTTGTTAGAGAATCTATTTTGGATTCCATGTTTGTAGATGAAGTTTTTGAAAATACATACTAGAATGTCCAGTTTCTAAATTTCCTTATTTTCCGAGAAAGTTTTTTAACGATTATACTAAAAAGTAACTCAACTGATAAGTAATAAAATAATTTTCATTGTACATTTCCTTTTAAGCTTTTGTAGGTATTTTAGCGGAAGTGATATTAGTTTAAAATAGTATGTGGCACGTTGTCTTGTTACCTGTTTGGTTTATTTAACTGGAGATCAGGAAATGGTAGGAAATGGTTTGTTTGTTTATACACAACAGCACGTAGTGTACGTGAAATTTTAATCTATTTACGTCTAGTTATAATTATGTCTCATCGACCAACACCGTAGTGTGCCTAACCGTTAATATTGGTCGCTTTGCAGAGCTATTTTCAAAAGCCTTAGAACTTGACGATGAGCGTAACGCTGTCATAGCTTAGAGATTCAATCAAATAAAATCTGCTTGAGAAGATAATAAAGGTTTTATTTAGGCTGTTTTTTTAACAAAATGGTACAGCTGAAAATATTTAGCTTGTGTCGCAATGCTCCGGTATTTGTTGGGTATAGAATTGTCAAGTCGATGTTGTCTCGTATTATTTAAAACAAAGAGTATTATGTTACCTGTTTAATAAACACCAATAGATATTAGACGAGTTACATACGAGTATAGCACACCGTTGATCTGGTATGGTGGGCATAGCAGACCGTATTGTTTGTTTCCGTGTCTGATATTTTGCTTGTGTGCTATCGTGTATGTGTATTTACATTATATAATGTTTGCAACCATTCAATCACTATAATAGTATTATTATATGTATGTTTACGTGTATTAGTTTATGTAGGTATACCTTTTTATGATAACTGTTTTGTTTTTTTTTTTAGTTAAAGACACTCAAATATTGAAAGTTGTTTTTTTATTATATTTTTATTTTTTTTTAAGTAAATTAACCAATGGGCCCTATCTGAATAACATAGTGATACAGGAGCCATCGCTGAGATAGGGTCCATTTTGTAGGCACTCTTATTTTTCTTTTCTTTAACGAAATGTTTTTTTACACTTTATTGTAGGTGCACAGATGTGATCAATAAACTCCTTTCTTTCTTTGATGGTAACAGCCCGGTAATGGTATGGCACTGTGTAATTGAATTATCTTTTAATGCCTACTAAAAATACTGTAAATACCCACTGGATGCAAAACAAAAGTATGATCCACACGGTTGAAAACCAGCATTTCAAGAGAGCTAATTTTGTTTGTTGCCAACCATCTAAACAAACGTAGAACACGATCCGCAGTTGGAAACCAAGTTGCCCTTTATTGAAACTCTGGTTCGAAACCGTTCGATCATTATAATTTTTATATTTTATGTGTTTATTTATTTATTTATATTATTGTTTTAGGTGAATTCGATATGCGGGTGAAGTCTTGCGCTGCGTCCGACGGTTCGGGTCACATTATACAATTGTCGGATGAATATGGCTGTGTGCTGCGCCCCAAGATGATATCAAGGTAATGCTCATTATTTATAGTAATCTATACAGGTATGTTAACGTTATAATATACGTTTCAAAATCATAACATAAACATAAAAGTTTACACCCCCGTTTCGTTATAATTAAAATTCCTATCCATCCAATGGTTGTTTGGCAGAAATCGCTTTCAACGATAAGACCGCCATTTGTTACACTTTGATGTATTGTTTAGTTTGTAAAATCTGTGAAGATATCTGTGGTGTTGACAATAAAGTGTTATTATTATTATAAAAATGTAAATGTCGGATGTAATTTACAGACAACACTACTAACAAGAAACTCCAATACACATTTGTGCAAAATTTATAAAACGATTGTTAGGAATTTCCACGCCCTGTTAGTACTTGGAAGATATTTTGCAAGCATTTAATATAGTCTGACTGACTGCAGGAGACTATTACTGTGGCAATAACTCTGATCTCACGCTAGCAAGTCCCCCAACATTTAGTGCCAACTAGATAAGAAATACAAGAATAAATGCAGATGCACAGTTATTAGATATTTTGTAGATATAGATTTTGATAATGCAGAAGTTACCGTTTTCACTCTACAATGCAGAAGTTAAATAACTTTCACAAGAGCCGTTCGTAGACGAACCAAACATTTTTATCATTTCAATTTCCTCCATGCTTTCATAGGCACGTTAAATCTGGAAAGCGCCCCGCGTGTTTTACCTGCAACATAATGTGCACCTACAAAGTCGAAGTGTTAGTAATTTAGCATAGTTTTACAGTCTAAGTTAATTCATACCTGCATACATTATCCTTCAAGGTTCCTCAAAGCGAAAGCTGCTGACGAGAGAGCTACGGTGATCACGTACGCTTTCTTCCATGCTTTCAAGTTCCCAGATGCATTGAGCGTCCATATTCGATGCAAAGTGGAGATCTGCAGACACGGTTGCTTGGACCACTGCCAGTTAGCTGGTGTTACACCACAAAGGCACGGCGCTTTGGACAGGAAAGACGACAGGACTCATCAAGACCATAATGACATCAAGTAAGAACCGAAACTCTTGGGAAAATTCTACTTTTTTAATTAAACTTAGTTCAAATATAAACAGTCTAATCAATGTGTATTGGCCGATCTTTGTATTTATTAAAATGGTGAGCAAACAAAAACCAAAGTTTGTCTTACGGAATATGCGGTTCTTCTTCATAGTAAAATCCTGAATAACTAGGAAAATATACATTGAACCATTAAAAAAATATATTAATAAATAATATACAAATTTGAATAAAATAAACTCTGACTATAACGAAGACTTTAAAAAGTCGAGAGAAGTTAAACCAATAGGTGAGAATTTGAGTAAAGTAAGAACTGTATGGGTTGGTTGCACCAATTTACTTTAACAATGACCAACGTGTTAAAGTACCGGTTAAGTAAATAATGAAATGCATTATTTGGTATTTGGCAGATGACTTATTTATTTGGTAAAATTATCTGCTTAAGTAATTTCTCTCGACTAAAGATACGAGCTTAAGATAAATAGGAATATAGAATTATGAACGTAAAAGTAATCAAAGATAGTCAAAAGATCTACAGATTTGAATAGTCAGAATTTTGACTAAGATCTTTTTGCAGTGATTCGTCAGCAGAGGACTCTGATATAAACTATTCAGAAGAGCCTCAAAGGTTACCTTTAGAAGAAGCATTTGGCGACGAAGTATCAGGTGATGCAGTGCCGGCGCCCGCGCCGTTGCCTCAGCGTGCGCCCGCGCCTGTCAACGAACCAGACACTGATCATATGTCCGCTGTCCAGGATCTGGTAGATGCCCTCGCAAGACCATTTACTGTGAGTATAGTCAGTCAGATTTTCTTTCTCTTTTTATAGTCTTTTTATTTATACTCTCCGATTAACGAAGGTCGGTTGTCAATTTAACAAACGCATCTCAGTTCATGGTGAAACTTAGCTCTCAGTTGGGCGGCGATTGTTATCTCCGTCAATATCATATAACTAGTTTCCTATTATCCATTCAATGTAAAACTGTTTGGTCAGTTCCAATATGTATACTTTCTTTTATTTATTATAATATATTTATTTATTTATCCTTCTCAACATTGCACTCCCAGTAGTATTTTTTTATTCAATAAAGCCGCAACTTGTTTACTCAAACTCTTAATAAGTTCCTGCAAACTATGTATCATCTTGAGTGCAGTAAAGTATATTATTATTCTGATATAGGTAACGAAACCTTCGACGTCTATTCTGATTGATTTTCGGTTACCGTAAAGAGCCGGCGACAATTTGTTAATAATTGTTTAACAATTTTGTTTCCAGGATCGTCCATCGGACTTAAGCGAACGCGAGCGTTTCCCGCAGGGTCCACGAAATCTCGTTGGCAACGTTAAAATAGAACCCACCGGGGACACAGTTGTTCCAGCTAAAACACCAGGTCCAGCTGTAGCAGGCCCTAGATCGTTGAGGAAACGTAGAACGATACGAGACGCCAGGTCTGCGGACGTGGGTGTGTCCGGCATATATGAAGTTGTGTCAGAAGCGGATTTAGCTTTTGGACCTTCTAGGGAGCCTGTCACCGTGTTCAGTGGCAGGATTAGAGAAGAGGTAAGTTTAGTAATAAGACTAGATTTGTTAACAACTGTTAAGACGTAGCCAATATAGTTATGGCAAATTAAAACGTGATTTCCAGTAAAATGCTGCAAATATCTTTTTGTAAAAGTAATTCTTACCAACCGTTAAAAAACAGCGTTTAAATTCGCGTATTTCTTGACTTAAATTACTACAGTGAGATCAGGCATTATAAGATAGTCAAATTTTGCTTTGGTGTTTCACTAAAAATAAAAAAAATAATACCTACCTATATAGAACGTATATAATATACATATATAGTATTTGAATAAATAATAAGATAAATAATAGTTTCATCTTAATTCGATTTCTTGTAAACAACATATTTGAATGTGTTATTTTCTAATTTTGAGTTTTGACTACGCGCTGTAACATTAGCACAAAATGTCATAGAGTTCAAATCGCATAAAGCATTATTTAGCACTGTGACTACGAAACCAGAACTATTTTAACTAGACAATGTTGTTATAATGGCGGGATATCACTTTGCAGCCCTCTACTCTATTTCGGAGGAGGCCAATGGCGCAGAAATTAGCACGCTCGGTTTGTGATGATTGTATAGCAACTTTTGCGAGGTCATAGGATGGGTGACCAAATATTGACTACATCAAATTCCTCAGTACTTCGGAAAACATGTTAAGCCGTTGGTCACGTCTGCATCAATACCCAACAATCCGCATTAGGCCCGCGGTGGATCATGGCCCATTCTCCCTGTTATTCATCCATAGCGGAGGCCTGCCCTGTAAAAATCCAAATCCGATATCAAATTCATTCAGGTGTCGTAATTTACTTCAAAAGCGGCATCCGTCTTTCTTCTTTAAAATTTTCATTAGTTTTATGCGACACTACCCATACAATTATGAGATTAATAAGAGCTTAAAGGCCTCATTAAAGCTTAATGGACGTTTGTGTAACTGACCGTTAGACACGTAGGTATGAATAAATCAATCTTGTTTCGTATTTTTATACAAAACGGAATCATATATTAATTCCGCTTTTACACTTAATTACGTGAATTCGGAAAAATTAGTGAATTATAATTCGGGTTCGGATTTTTACAGAATCGCTCTACTAAGCCCCAGCAGTGGAGACATTGATAGGCTAGTGATGATGATGATGATTTTCCTTCTTCCTAATGAAAGCTTAATTTCCAGGTGGTATACGGTATCTGTATGGGGGCAGTGAGTTTCGGTGCATTATTCGCATCCGCGGCCGGCGCGGCAGCGGGAGCGGCTCTAGCGGCAGCGGTGATGCTGCAGCGGCTACGATCGAGGATGGTGACGCAGCACGCCGCGACCCCCGCGCCCCCCGCGCCCGCCTCGCACTCTCTAGCTGCGTGGATGGCGCTGCGACTGCTCGGATCCCCTCCCCACCCGCACATGTCCCACGACGGTTGACATTTTGAATTTCGAAGACTGAGCGAACGAGGTCGGTTGTTTGTTTATTTTCTTTTGCGTCCTCTTTGAGTTTGGACTTCAACTTGTGTGAGATTATTCGACCTGCGTGGCTACAATTAGGATTTTAAAGACTCATAACTCAGCTGACGGAAATAACACCTTTGTCAGCCTGTTGTCATTTGAAGTTCAGCTCCGTTTCCGCATTATTTAATTGTCTCGATATTTTAATCTCTGTCTCTCTCTCTCTCTCTCTTATTATGTCGGAAAGGTATTATATTATCATCTCTCTCATACCCAGGCGAGACGGGGAGTTCTATTTGTATGTAAGATACAACTGATGTGAATTTTGAAGCGCTACAAATATCGGCCAATCATAATGATTCATGTATGACGCCATCGGGCGATCGACTAATGACAGCGTGCTTGACTCAGCCGAGAGAGTGAGATAGACACGTTGCGTTATATTTTACACCTTATTGTTATTAAAACAAGACTCACTATAAATCTTAATCGTCGTTCGCTCATCGAATTGGCAGATTTGCTATTACATTACTTTGAAATTAACATGTAATCGCCGCTAAAGAGTTTTCTTAGTTTCTCCATCTTAAATAAATTTTTCTATAAATTCCTATATTAAATAGACTGTTAAATTTTATAGAATATCTTGCCAAATTTACCTTGTAAATAGTAATATTTTGTGCCGGCATCACCAGTAATTGTGGTGAAACTTATAAACGTTTTTATTTAAATCAAAAGACAATTCTTATGACAAAATTTCTTTACATCAAGATACCTGAATGGGGGATTAACCCTTCTATAAATATATTTAGGTCAGTCGTAATATAATAATTTATGTATCAATAAGATCTTGAAGACATGTGTGTAATTTTATGGAAACATTCAGCGTAACCAAATAGGAATTGACATTTATTTTTCACGTACATTCACTGTCGTCGATTAGCTAAATTTTGCCCTTATTCTGAGTGGCTTAGAGTAGAATATGCTAAAGCAAATATTTGGTTGTCATTATAACGATGGTGCTATGACGTGTTACGGACTTAGTCCATCGAATTAAAGTTCCATTCGCATTTTCTTTTTTGAAATTAAACTAAAATGTGTGATAATTTTACATTTATTAGTTAACAATGTATTCAGATCATAATCTCATTTTTTTTAAATCTCGTTATAAAAATACATAGTTATTTGTAAAAGGAAAACGTTTGTATTATTATTCCAAATTTAATTATTATTTTTTCTTTTTCAGAAAATGCGATTAGACTTAGTTCGATTTCACTTGTTGTGAATATTATTACTTGTTTCGATAAGTTTTGTACAGTATAAGTATTTATATATATAACTTATAACTTAGTTTTAGGGTAAGAATGTCGAGTCATGCCATTAGTATAAGTGTACTTAATTGTAACTTAGGCGAGTTTAACATGACTTGCTCAAAAATAGGCTTTATTTTCTATAATATAACGCTTATATTAAATTAATAGATAGATATGGATAATTGTATTCATAAATCAAGAAATCATTTTATTCATACAATTATAATATATTTTTTTTTATAATATAATGATATTTTTCAATGTAACATAAGGTTATAAGCAGTGGTTGGAATTAGGTAGAGTTATTCATGTACTTACACTGATTTCATACAGTGAAAGAATAAAGTGGATAGGCCTCAAATCCCGAGATTAATTTTAAAGAGCAGAAAAAATCCCGTGATTTTTTAAATAAAAAGTTATTTACTTTTACACAATTTAAACTACTGCACGCACGACGTTGCCAAACTTACATCAATGACATCGGATGTCCAAAGATGTCCAAGATTGTCCATTAGAAATCCCGGGAAGGTCCACATTAATATCAACATTTCGATGCAAGTACATAAATAACTCTACCTAATTCCGACCTCTGGTTATAAGTAAAATAAATTTTCGAACCTCTTTGCATTGTTTAAAATTAAGTGTAGAATGTAGACAGTTTTGTATAAACTGACATTCTGTTCACATTATGTTTTTTTTTTTTATAAATTAAAACACCAATGATTTAACATTAAAGTTATTTCAGTATAAAATATTATACTGATATCAATATGTGGTGCTTTATGATTATTGACTTCATCACTAACCCAACTGAGATTATTTTTGCAAATCTAAGTTAAATACAGGTCAGGTTACTTTGAAAACTTAGATTCAAAGTCTATTCAAGTTATATAAGATAATTTTAATTATATTATTTGAAAATTCAATTTATTAATTTTAACCAAAGTCTTGTGTCAGATTCAGTTAACTTAAGGGTCACATTAGGTACATATTCAAAAAGTTGAAATGTATGACATGCGATTTTGCAATCAACTAAGTAGGGTTAAGGTTCTTTCAGCAACAATCTGACTTATCTTTTAACTAAATTGAAAATAGAATACAAAAAAGCTATTGGTTTTGATAATACAGAATCACATAGAAAATTCTTGATAACTTTTCATAAATCTATAAAACAAAAGTCCTTGATGAATTATCAATATTAAATCACATTAATAGTTTGAGCTTCCTATCTTGTCCTCATAAACAAAGATAAGATATATCCCAAGTTGTCCCATTGCATTTACCTAATAGTTTTTTGTATCATGCTCATTTTTTTGTATTGTAGTTGTTTTATTTAATCTAATCATATTGTTTGTACGTACAATCGTACGTTCAATCAAATTGTATTGTAGTATTTAATTTAGTCGTTTTGATATTTTAAAAAAATACTCCTTTCCTAACATGATTGCTGGACATGACAGCAGTTATGATTTTTAACTTTATGCCATAGTGATAAGTAATATATTTAAATACAGTGTGACGCGCAATATCAACGATGGTACCTCATCCTGTTACTGTTTTATATCAACTTAATGAAGTTATCAGCTTCATTTTTAACATGAAATGTTTTACACTGCGAAGTACTTTGTATTAAGGGCCCTATTACCTGCATGCTAGAGTTGAATTTGAAAGAGTTTTGCTATAATTCTCTACTACTGAGCAATCTAAAATAATGCTAAAAGTAGCATGCGAAACCCGTATCTACTCATGTATCAAAATTCAGTTCCAAAAATTGAACTTTTCACTTAACATGATAAAATTCCATGGTTTGGAATTTTATCATAGCAACTTAAGTTAAATCCATGCCTATAAATAATATCCTTACATATATAAACTGTTATAGAGCTTATATATTGATTTATAGAGTTCAAAATCAATTGCGAATTTGACAAATTGTAGTAACCGAAAAATTCATCATTGTCTCCAGTATGCATGTAATATGGCTCTGAAGCATTTCAAAGTATATAATAAGGTTTCGTTTCATTTTTATAAATAAATAGTTATTAAATAGAATTATGTATTTTCAGAAATATATTTTTTATAGTTAATACTTTTTAATACCTTTATAATTTATTGTTACACCAATGATTATTGCATTTGAATATAAATTATTCGATTAACTCGATTTGCATTTATAAGCATTTGATTCAAATATACTTCCTAATGTTGCTCAAACGTTTTTTTTTAATAAATTATTTTTAATATAATTTTTATAAAATATAGCTATGACTAGATTATCTATAGAAGTAAGTTATGTTTGTTAATAAAAATCAGGGATGTTAGGGAGCTCCGTAACCGTGACCGAAATAAAAGTTTCGGATAATTATGGATACAGGCTGAATCTACATGAAATATGACATTTCTACCCGGCCAAGCCGAAACACCAGCCACGCGCATTTATTTTAGATACTCGCATTTTCCATAGTACTTGTATGGTTGGTAAAGGCATAGGAGACTCATGATAATCAAATAATGTGGATATTTTCTCAATATAATTCTAGTATCAGTTCCAGAATAATATTATCTGGCTATTTTAAATTAGAATGCAATATGATGTTAAATACTATATTCTATACTCTAATGGAAAATATGGTTTTAGTGAGGAACACAGAAAATGCACAGAATTTTTTTTTTCAACATATTAGAGAGATGAAGGATAAACCAATCAATATTTAATAAAAAAATATCGAAAATGCGTTTTTAGTTATGCTAAATAGATAAATAGGCGCGTGCGATAAGTTCAAAGAAATAATTTGTTACAAGATTAAATAAAATATTATCACGTATTTTAAATAAATTTTTGGGTTAAAATATACCCATAAAATGGTATATCTTTTGAAATGCAACTTTGAATGCAATTAAAATGGTGCCAAAATTGTTCAAATTGACAGCTTACTAGACTTATCAAATGGATGGTATGATTTACTATCATTAATATACACATTTAAATATAATATTGTAGTATCTAGTAAATTAACTACAGATATATGGCTAAAATACAGCAGGGTGGTCATAAGTAGCATACGTGTTTAGTGTTTATTGATACCTTTTCAAAAAGAAAGCGTCGTATCGTACCGGAGCGACAAGCACAGAAAGCAACTCCGCTTTAATTCCGACCCACATTACTTCAAAGTTTATTTTTCAATTTAAAACTTTCATTCGCTTTTTATTGCAATACCAATAAACTTATAGATACAAATTTATATTTTTATGTATATCTGTCTTCTTTATGGAGTACAATTAAGTATTCCCTAATCCATGCTCTATTTATATAAAAATAATAAAAACTTTTCAATACTTAATGAATCTGACAATATCTAAGAATTTTGTTTATACGTCATAATAATTTTAAAACTCAATTTGATGGAAGTAAAATACCTCTAGAAATAAAACGTAGTTATTTTATTGTATATTACTTTTAAAATGGTTCAAAAATCTGCTATGCGTACCCGAAACCGATATAACAATTCTCTAATATCCGTATACGTAAGCGAAATAACATATCCGTAACATCCCTGGTAAAATTAGGTACGAAAACTATTGTTTTTCTTGAATCGATTTAAATAATCATTTGATTCTAAATTGAATATAGAAATAAAGTTCAGTGTTATATTTTTTTAAACTAAATGCGATATAGCCACCCAAATATCTTTTATGATGTAACTTTTAACAGTAAGTTACATATTTTGTGAAGGAACTAATAAGAGGAGTTTCTGCAAGTGCAATTTTTATATTTAAATAAAAAGTATTTTTAAACTATATTAGATTTATATTTTCTAAGTGGTTTTGGTGTAAAGTTATTTCTTGTAACTAACAGTGTATGGTTATGAAATGAGAGAAGAATATAAGCTTGGTAAAAGTTTTATGTAAATACGTGTTATAACATTTTATAAAACTATACATTTAATATTACTTTTAAATAAGTGATTAGTTAAAATATATTTTGAATATTATAATTTATTAATAACAATTTAATATTAGTATAACCACAATTAAATGTAACATCGATAATGACAACAGTAGAGTCGTGAAACAGTCATTAAAATCAGTATACCGATTTTACTATATCGATGTTACCTATTTTGTATAATCGGTGTACCGACTAAGGACCGACCGAATTTAGCCGATTGTATTAGAAATGTGATTATACTGATATTATTTTTGTCTTTGTTTAAGCATTATTATCGCACCTGTTTCACTACTTTCATAATCGAGATCGTTTTGGCTTTACGATAGTTTGTTCATTATTTATTTTGTGAACGAGTTTTTATGTCAATTTCCCGTGTGAATGTGGTAGCGAAGTACTTAATGCGTAATCACCTGTTAATTTGTTTAATGGAATAAAATGTATGTTGGATGTGGTTTTGAGTTTTTATTTATAATGAAAAAATAAAGTCAATCTACACGAACCTATTAATAAACCTATTACACGAACTAACTATTTTTTGAATTCGTTCCATTCTCATATAATATTAGTATCAGGTTTAATCGTTACTATTATTAAAATTTTAGTTCTAGGTAATGACTCTAAAACAGTGATTCTCAACCTTTTTTTTGTTGCGGCACATATTTAACGATTTCAAAATTTGGCGGCACACAAAATCCGAATTCACGCAAATAAGATGTGGAAAATTGTAATAAAATCTTTAAAGCTTTTTTTTGTTTACAAATTTATAAATTGACACTACATGCAAATAAATTATTATTAAACCGAATCACATACATTTGCCAATTTTAACAAAAGAACGGGTGCAATAACTACTATGCAACACCTTGTGAATCCCAACTATCCAAATGAAAAAAATATATAATTCTTCGAATTCTGACATTCTGTTTATTTTTTCATTTTTGTAGTAGCATACATATTCAAAAATACTTACACAAAATATAATAAAAAGCCGTTAATTTTTGAGACGGAAGACATATTTTGCTACCATAAAGTAGCCGGCGTGTCCGCGGGATGTGAGGTATATGTTGTCGTTCCTTCTCTTTCTAACGCCCATTAATAATCACTTTCGGTCAGTTGCACAAACGTCCATTAGGATCTAATGACGTCTTTAAGTTCTAATGAATGTCAAATTTGTATCGGTAATGTCGCTTTAAATTAATGATAATTTTAATGGCCGTTTGTGCAACAGGCTGTTAACTTTGTAAAAAAGAGATATTGAAATAACAATTAGAGGGCCCGAAAGGCGACGAAAAATTGAATATGTTCTAGAACAAAAGTGGTTTTCACAAAAAATGATACATACATACAAATATTGCTAGAGTCGATGGCTTGAGATTTTGATACTGCAGTACCTGGCATAAAAAATAGGGGAGGTTTGAGTTGATTATTAATTTGAATGAGCCGAATTTAATAGAAGTTTCTTGAATATATTAACCACATTTTAGATTAATATTGTAGTTCACTTTTTTAAGCTTTTTATATATATTATTTTGTTTGTATTTTAAGTTTCGTTACAGGTAATTGTTGATTTTGACATTTGAAGCTTATTTTTTATCTGTTATTCAATCTAGGGGAAATTTACGCTTAATTGGAAATCAATCAATATGGTGCGCCACACCAGTTTGATTTTATTGTCAAGACTACTAAATTCTAATTCAATAAGGGTTGGCTGAAGTTTAAGAGCCCTATTACAAATACAAATAAACTTGTTACGCGGCCATATAAATTAAGTTTGAACGGTCGTTGCATCGAATTTTGTGAGCAGTTATATTTATGAATGACTGAATAAATTCTTTATTGGTTTATCTTTTTATCAAAATAGAAAAGTAAATTTGTGCTTCAAAATTATTAAATCTTTATTGCTAAGAAATCATTTTACTTAAATCATTATTCTAGTAAAAAGTTTGCTCAATAATATTAGAGTAATATAGGAGAAATCACTGAATTATATAAATTAGTCTAAATTGAAAAAAAAAAACGTATTTAGACATATTTATTTCGAAAAGAAAACTTGTATAACCTGTGAAAGACTATTTGTATAACTTTCCCTGTTGTTAGCTGTACAACCTGTCATACTTTAGTGATCATATTAATGGCGTATTAAGGATAAAAGATATTATGAGTGGCTATAAAAACCAGCGAGGGTGTATGAAAAGATTTATGAATGTTGAGGAAGCTTAAACGCGTAGCGAAGACATGTTTAAAGACCATGATTCCTTCAGTGCGCCCGTATCTTTATCTATAGGTTCAAAAGTAGTAAAACCATTAGAATTTTATTCTGTTCCCCACTACAACGTCTATAATAATTCATTCTGACTCCAGTTTGCCATCACCATTTCATGTTCCCACTGCTAGGGCTCAGACGTTCCATATGGATGAAACCGAATAGGGAGAATAGGTATCAACGACTACAGGTGTAGTAAAGACTGCCCGTGCCCTAGAAAGCACGGAGGAGCTAGAGATAACACAATTATGCTCACGCATCCTATGTCCGGTCATTGCGAAAGTTGCTTGACAATCGTGTCGCAAACCGAGCTTGCTGACCACCGAATCATTAAATTCATGCAGTCTGCATACATTTTTGTTAAATGTAAGTATCTGAGTATATCATCACAATCTGCTCATAATTTGCTGTAGTTAAATCAAATATGTTCCTGCAAAACTTGGATATGAAATTCATATAAAAATAACACTGGCGACCATTGTGGCCGAGTGTCGCCATCTCTGATATCCCAGATTTATTTCTCGGGAAGGTCAATATAGAAGTAATTTTACTTTTCCTGTCTCGCGTCTAAATGGGTAACTTCGTTGTTTTAGATTTCTATAATGCATGTACTTTAACTACTTATTTTTTTGGATCCGAACAATGTATATGATCGTGTCTAATACCTATTTATATTTTACAATAACAAAGATTAAAATCAAGCCAAGACTCTTATAGTTTTGTGGAGAGCAATATAATCTAGTCGAAATTGAAAATTAGTTTAAAGGTAAAATTAAACGTCATATTGTTGCTTTTGTTGCATTTATTTTTCCAAATTATTTTCTTTATTACAGAATCGTCGACATTCTTTATTGTAGGTGTATAATATTTTCTATATTTCTACAATTGCTAACAATGCAATGTATAACAAACTTAAATCATACTGAGGACAAATCAATTCATATAACAGTAGATAGAATTTGTATTGAAAACGAAGAAAACAAAACGAATAATATTAAAAACAGATGAAGAGGTACTCAGGTGATATAAAATAAATAAGGTAGTTAACGACTATATACGACAACTTAACTAAAATAAATAATATTAACACTAATGACAAGTTATTTTAAATTATAGTCTAGCGGTTCACCTAAATGTTGATATACCATATACATAAACATTTTCCGTTGCCCCTGATTCAAATGTAAACACATATTCGAAGAGAGGTAACAGAAGATTGTACTTATCAGACATTTTAATACTTACTTAATTTGTATACACAATTAACCGTCATTATTTCATTAATATCTTAATGATTTGGAAGTTTATAAGGCTCGTTTTAAATGTCCATAAAAATATTGAACCGTATACAAAATCTAGAAAAAAATTAGGAAACCAACTGAAGCTTTAAAATTCATTCACAATCAGATAATAATATGTATATTTTAATATAATACACATTGAACATTTTTAACATATTATCAGTAATTAATTTCGATTGAGCACTGGCATAACACACAAATAAATAAATTGGCATGATCTATATACTTCAGTCTCATCACACTAATATGTACAAATTCAGTTATTTCGATGATGTTACGAATAGAACCGACTTTTTGAAATTATATGAGCGGTGGGTGGATGGTGGGGCCGTGCTATCGTCGTGATAGCAGCGGTTTTTTTCTTTAATGTGGTCATGGGGCGCAACTTTAAGAATAATATCGCTGAAACAGCACAAGAGCAAAGTAGAGTCGCAAGAAGAGCTCCAAGCGTTGCAGCAAAACCAGGGGTAGTCATACAAACGAGTCCAGGAGTAGGAACGATTCTAGGCGCGGCGTTCTCTTCTGATGTATCCATGTTTAAATCCCCAGCTGATACTACGCGAATAACTCTGTTTACACCGACTTCTTTCTCCGGTGATGTTGCTCGACGCTGCCTTCTTACACGACGCTCGTCTCTCCTAGCCTCAACTCCCACTGGATAAGCGTCCAATTGAGGTGGCCCATATTCGGCATGAGGTGCGATAACATTGTGGCCTCCATCTGAACATTGTTCTGGACATCTGTATCTGCAAATTTGAATCGTACATTGGAAGTGCACTTCCATTGAATCTGGGAATTTAAAAGCTTGGAAATGTGCGTAAGACAAAACGCTGGCACTAGCACCGAAGTTTTTGATTTTTGTGAATCTTGACATCAGTTTTGGTCTGGTTACACAGCCTCGCCTATCGACTAATTGTATAGGTGCGCGTTGACCATCATGTGCCACACAATCACGGACGAGCATATCGAATTTCGCATCATCGTCTTTGATCGCCAGCACCATTGTCATTGTTTGCCCGATCTTTACTAATCCAGATACTTCAGAAGCCCAAGGTCCTTTACCGACTTGAATCTGCATCCAGCAACCCACATTATCACCAGCGAAGTCAGCACGCACAACATCTAGCATATCAACAGGGAACGGCCTAAACGTGACCGCTTTTTCGTACTGGTCATGCCAAGTGCAACGTAGCTTACGAGCTTGATCCCAAACTTCTTGCACTTGTGGATCGTATTGTATAACTATGACGTTTTCGAAATATGTGCCAGCTGCAGCAACATCCCCTCTATATCTGGGGTCGCCACTACCAGCTGTGCCGCAAGCATGAGCTCCGATTTCAAAAGAAGCAGACGATCGACCTAAGTTTGGTGGTAGATGGACACATTGATGATTCGAATAATGTCCCTTAGAGAATACTATGCCAAAAAACGGTTTGTCAAAGCTTAAAAAGACTCGCATAGCGTTTTTTTCGCATTTCACGTCTAGTGAAACGATTTTAGGCATATCAGGTGCAGGTGCCGGCCAGACATCGCCGGCTCCGCTGAATACTTTGTCGCTAGCAGAAGTCTGGGTATCAGCAGGAGGAGCAGGTGGCGGCGGAGGTCCACGAAAACCAGGTCCAATGTCGTTTTTGTGATGATTTACAGGCGGTCCAAGCGCAAAAGGTTTGGAGTGGATGGTGTGATGATTAGGAATCCGTGGCATGCCTGAAATGCAAAAAAAATATTATTATGATTATTTTCTATTGTAATTCGATATAAGTAATATCTACTTTGAAAATATTTTTTTATAATATACCGTTGATATGCCTTTTATTTTATTCATACTATAATATACTTCAAAATCTCTATTGAGTGGCTTTCACATTGACGTCGCCCCTGGTTCGATTCCTGGTCTAGTCTATGTAGAAAATAAACTTTTCTATATTTCTCGGACGTTGTGGTACGTTGTTTCAGGTATTCCATAACCTGACTCTCGCTCGTTATCTTGGAATCTGAGCAATGTATGTGTATAATATTATAAAGATGAAATATTTGATTGTTTGAATCGAATAGGCTGGACCTATATTAAAATTTCTTTCACCTACGGATAGCTACATCATACTGGGTTGACATAGGCTATAATTTACGCGTGTGAAGTAGCGGGAAAACAGTTAATCTAATATATCGTAATAGAATTAGTAAAGCCACATAAACCGGCTAGTATGTATTGAAGTAGATGAGGAGAAAGATTCATGTAAGGACCGTACTTTCTGGCTTTCGGTCCTCTCTGCCTACCCCGCAAGAGATACTGCGTGAAGATATAGATAGATAGTACTTTACCGACTTTGGTAGTACGTTACTGATATTCTTCATGCCTAAAATAACTTTGTTAACGATAGGTATTTTATGTAAGTTACCTAAAGGGTGATGAGGCTGATGGTGCGGCGGATTCTGTCTCCTGTTGTGTGGAGGTGGAGCTGGTGGTGGTGGACCGCTGTATGCATGGCTAGGGGTCTCTCGCTCCGCAGATTCCATCGCGAGTTGATCCGCTGACGGCTCCGCTGCATTACTCGTGTCGGAGCCGGCACTGCCACCGCCCACACTCTCGTTGGAGGACTGGTCGCTGAGAGTTCCGGTCTGAAAATATCAGGATATCTTCGTTTACAAGATGGTAATGAGGTTCAAGCTTTCTCTGGTCAGCGTATTCTATTATTTCTATTGTCATATCTTATATAAACTTTACTATAGAAGTAAAGTTTCTAACTTTGTAAATTTGTAGGAGTAATCTTCAGAAATACTAATCCGATCATGAACATTCTTTTACCTACAGGAAGCCACATCATGCGCGAAGTTTAAAAGAGTTTCTTATCGTGCTCATCAGATTGCATTTGCATAAATCTTAACAAATAACGGTAATAAGCTTAGAGTTTTAATAATAACTTTTTGCTTATTTTATTAAATCTAAAACAGTATGTTAATTTTAAACTACTACACTCGTACTTGTCTAACAAGAAATCTAAATTGGGCTTATTCTAAACAGTGGAGAACTTTTTCTTCTGCTCATGCATAAAAGCAATTTATTGCTATCAGTTATTAATACGCGTTAATTAGCTTGGAACTTGTAAGAACATTTTAATCTTGTATCTTGTTCGACCAAACTTTTATCTTCGCCGACAGCTTTCACTACCGCGCGGGCCATATTTTGAATGTTATTCAATATGGTCCACTGACCTTTATAAAGCACCTGTATAAAAATGTGACAACTCGTGTAAATACTAATTCTGGGTCGGTCATGACTATTTCTGGTCCTACCATGGTGTCTACGGGAGTGAAAGTTGACATAATCTGGTTCCCAAATTCGTTTAAATCATCTCCACATGTTGCTCTGGTTCTCAAACGTTTTCCGACAGACTGGTTTTGGGTGTCAACTTCTTTGAATTAGAAACATTATCCGTGAGTTTTTTTGGCCACTCGATCATTATCAACGGTTTAAGTACACTTTCTTATTGGTCAACCAATACTTTATATCTATTAAACTTTTCAAAGCTTAATATTTACGCTCATTGTCTGCTTTAATTCGGCAATTTAATTATTATTTTTGTTTTTATATTATTTAATAAAAAAAAAATACAAGTGACATTATGTAATTATGAACTGATATTTATTGTTATGATAATTTTGTTAAGGTAGGTATATGTGTTATAATTATATAATAACATGTTAATTGTATAGATATTACTGACTGTGCTATGACAGGGTTCAAGTTATAATACCTACTAACTTATAAAGCACATTATCTTGTATACCAAAAGGTACCAATAAATAATGGAATGGGTCCATTTATTGAAAAATCTTAAGAATTATTGAATTATTATTCCGATCACGCCTTTAGAAAGTTTCAATAAAATCTTAACGAAATAAGTACGCCCTTGTGACTTTTGTGCACGTTTGAATCTGTGGGTGTTGACATCTTTCTGTGAACCTCCTATTAACGAATCATCAAGACTTCTACAACTCTCATTTGTTTCGCCTCGAGGTAAGAAATTAGAAAGTATCGTTACATTATAGTCGCGGAGGTTTTATTTTATTATTTCAATAAGATTTATGATTGACCGTGAAGACTCCACCTTCCCAGCAATTATGTTAGATTGGGTGCCCGGTGGATAACAAGGAAGACCGATTGTTACCCGGATTGGGTAATAAAATAAATAGGAGAAAGTTGGATGGACTGAGATCTCGATGTTTATCTAAATAATAGAGTATCGGCCAGTTTAATTCATTCGAGAAGGTATTTTAAGTAAGTACTTCCACCTAAACGAGGCCTAATATATGTAATGACGACGTCTGTTTTAAATTATTTTTAAATTATGATACTTATGATTCTTTTAGTTTCTTTTGAAGTTGTTATGTCTCATTGAAAAAATAGGTTTGTAATATTTTGGAAAACCCAAGTCCCTGTCATCTTCGTATAAGAATTTTAACGAATCTGTATCTATATACTAATAATAAAGCTGAAGAGTTTGTTTGTTAGGTTGAACTCTATAACGTCTGGAACGTCTCGAACGAATTGAATTATTGTTTTTGTGTTGAATAGTCCTCCTATCTATATAATGCTATAGACTATATAAAATCATGTTATGACTTATAGGAGTGGAGCAGCAATGAAAAATGTTACAAAAAACCAAAGAATATTTTACTTTTTAAAGCTTTCTTTTTTGATAGTTGTGCGACACGCACTAAAATCTCTGAAAATGCTGAATTGAGAAAAGAAGAACAAGCCTGTTAAAGTTCTATGAGAATCAGGGCTTAAAATCTTGCACAAGCAAAGCATCAGACTGTTTTAACCCTTTAAAATGGAAGTCTTTATCTGAAAGTCCAGATTAAGCACAGTAATTGATTATCTAGATCCAAGCAAAATGCCGGCGTAATTTTTAAACGACTTCGATAAAAGGACTATTATTTAAAAAAAATCATATCTTTGTATTTTTTGCAAGGCATTTCGATTTTACTGTGCACTGAAAAGAAAAGAAGAGCAACTGGACTATTACATGAAGACATGCGAGTTATGCACCGGCATATTATTATTAATTGGTTCCATCTATGGGACAGACCTATACCCCAGCAGTGAGGATGCTGATAAGCTAATGATGATATAAAGGTGGATACAACCTTGGACTACGTGAGCGAAGCCGCGAGTTACAACTAATACTATTAAAAAGAGGAAAGATATGATAATTTGTTTGCATAGAGAGACTCCGAAACGCAATAGACATAGACTATTATTTACACGTAAAAATTTTAAATAAACTATTACTGGATCGATTATAAATGTTCTTTTACCAATAGAATGTTTATCACTTTCTAAGTTTATGCTTCATCATAGTTTCTATTGAAATAATCACAATTATGCATTGGAATTTAGCTAATGAATAACTCACTTTATAACTATCAATATTATTGTGGAAAAAATCTGAATAGACAATCCCCATAAGACAAATAGTCTTATGGGGATTGTCTATTCAGATTTTTTAGTTATATTCATTGCCCAATCAGTCACTGCTCTTGTTTTAACGTCATTGTTAGTATATGTACCTACAACTGTGCTTTAGTTATCCGAAGTTAGTAAAATTATTCTCGATTAATCTATCATCTACTCAAGTGTAAAGATTTCATGTTATTTTATTGAATGTGTATTTTATCTTTTAATGATGTCATCATTATCAGCCTATTATTGTCTTTATTATCGGAGTTACGGGCCTTCCCTATGGATGAATAAGGAAAATGGTTCAAGGTCCAGTGCTCAGAGAGGCTTAAAGGGTCCTCACTACTGCTGAAGCCAGTACCAAAGGCTTAAAGTGCCTGAATTTTTTGGAAATTGTTGACCACCCTTACCACCCATATCTTACTCATATCCATATCTGAAACCAATCTTTGTGAAATTTACTTACATATCGCAGACCGAATATGCTTAACGCTACGCCACTTCTCCTTACTTACAATTCAGAATGAGCTTTATTAAATTTAATCATTAAGGCTTAATTTGCCCATCTATGCTAAAGTTCAGGATAGTATACGTACATCATTAATATAATAACTTATTCTGATATTATCCTAATATTATTATTATAAAATTTTAAAGAAACGTAAAGTTCAACATATTATAGGAAAAAAAGTAGAAAAAGCCTTTAATTACATTCTATATATTAACAAAATTATTTCCGATGCCTATCATCAAAAGTTTTCGAACAAACATACAATTTGCTGTGGCATATGATTACGCATACCCACGTTGAAAGCATTGGTTGGAGAGGTTCGATGTCGAATTACTGTCATTTCATAACTTTCGTTTGACAGCATTCCAGTACAAGTTAGCTGTTAGGTATATTGTAAATATGAAGTGGACGTGGATTTTCTGAAGAAAGTTTGAGGAGTTGAATATTCCTATGTATTACATGTTTATTTCAATTTATTTTAAGTCATAGCATATTAAAGGATATTAATATAACTCAGATATTTGATTATTATTTTTTTATTAAAACTGATAATTGTAATAGAAGTTTACTTCATATTTTTGAGTGTGACGGGTAGTTGAGACTTATTAATGTTGTTAATGTCTTATTAATGTTATAAATGCGGATGTTTTTTAAATGCTTAAGTTCGTGGGGATGTATGTATGTTTGTTGTTCTTCCACTCAAAAACTACTGAACGGATTATGATAAAATTTGGTATACGGATAACTGGGTATAAATGTAGTGTCAAGGCATCATGTAAACTACGCAAGTGAATCCGCTGGTATGAAATAAAAGAGGGAGAAAAAAACAGCCCTTGCAGAGTTGCTTTTTGTGGTTCTTGTAAGTAAAATGGTCTGAGATTGGGATGCATTCTGTGTTTTTCGAATAACTTATAAAAAAAAACGATATATTATTGAAAATTACTCAATGTACTTCTTGAATGTCAAAAATCAACATAAAAACTCAATAAAAAACGAAAACTCAATGAAAATCAACATTCTTTTTACGTAACATTCATTACTACACACATCAACTTCGTCTAGGGATATTTTAATTATTCTTTTTCTCAGTTTTTTTTTTCTGAATAACATATACTCGTAACATGCTTATATTTTTATAAAGCCCATGTATTAGCGTAGATTATAGAATTAAACATAAATATTTTTTATTAATAATAAAAAATACATTATTTAAGTAAAGACGAAAAGTAGAATAATAGTAAAAATAACGATAAAGGTGTTTTTTAAGAAAAAGTGAAAAATATTGCGAAATTATTCCGTTATTTGCAATTTCGCGAAAATCAATAGTCAGTAAAACCACCCATGACCTTAACAACGGTCCTGCAAAGATTTTTCAAGCTTCGAATCAACTTATCTGGTGACCACTCGCGCTGTGTGGGGACGAGCATTGTCGTGCATGAGCGTGAATTCTTACCCCGTTTGTAGTCAAAGTCGATAGCTTATTCGAAGTGGGATCCATTGGCTGCAATACAGTCCTTTAAACATTGAGGCCAGTTATTAATTGAAGCACGCACACTTTCCATGGGAAAATTGTGTTTGGCTTCATACCTACTTTATGTAATGCACAGCGATGCGATACGATTCTCTTTATTACTCACTCTACTTAGTTCATTCTACTTCGTTCTATTATCATAATAGTTATTTAAGATACGAGTGCGGAAAGCAAGGTTTTACGATTAAGGGCCCAATTGAAAACACGGCGTAGCGAAAAATCTTTTACGCTCAAGTTTCTTACAACATTTTTCAATGCTTTTTGGGAGGGAATAAAACAAATATATAGGTTAATAAAACTAAGTATGTATTAAAGGTAAAAATTATTTGTTAAAATTAAACGTGATATTTGAACATGTTTTCGTGTCATTTTTATTTGAAAATTATTAACACTAAGTATTATGTGACCAAACCAAAATGTACAATAAACTTAATTTGAAATCGGGCGTAGCCATTAATCCCTGTCCGAATACAAATCTAGTTAGGTAATTGAATTTGGTAAGCACCATTGTTGTTTTTAAGATTTTTTTCCATATTTTTTTATGTCTCATTTAATTTATTTTTACAAATACGGTAATATTTTTCGGT